CATGACCATTTATTGTCTCAATCTGTCTCTTTCGAGGAAATTTTCTTTGAAAAACATAAAAGTCATAGACAGAGATACGAGTAAATGGAATAAACATACCATTTTGTGATAGTATTTTAGAGTGCTTATACAAGTGTCTGGATAATCTCTTATAGAATGATTTAAACAACACTCATAATCTTAATGACTAATCATATACTAAAATCCAATCATGATGGCTTCTTCGGCATCTATGGTAGGCGATTAGTCTTGTAGCTGGATGCCTTCCATCTTAATGTTCAACTCAACCATTGTCGTCTGCTCACAATCAAAGATTTCACCTAAGATTCATTCAGCAGAATCAAATAAAATCAGTAAATGCTAACATCTAACCTACTTTCTATTGATCAGGGAGATAGCAGCAGCAGTCCTTTCAAATTATAGTAGAGAACAACAATCTTATTACATGAAAATGTCTGTAAATAAAATAAAAAAAGTATATCACATTAAAAACCGCCCTCTAAACAAAATCGTAGGTAAAAAAAACTTAAGAGTAACAGTATCTGGGGAGTAATATGCGAATAATTAAGACAATTACGCCCAATCAGCCTCAAAATTATAACCAAATAAGTAACTGAATTACAAACAAGCAGTGATCGTATGAGTGTTGAGCAATGCATAGACGAGATACCAACTTTTTAAGCAACGATGGAACAGGGAATACGATTGGCATTTCATTCTTCCCGATCTATGTTAAACCCCAGGCATAAGCTCGGTTGGAATGAAACCACATTGTACCCTGTCTGGTTGCTCAATGAAAGAAGTAGCAAATTCTTCTATAGCAGTAGCAGCACGAAAGAGACTAACAAGGTTCTTTATTTCACAGTTCGCTGATTTTCACAGAGGTCAAGTCGGGACAGTTTCTGGCCGGTAATTCAAGGTCTTCAAAACTAACTTTTACAAGATCTGTCGTGTAAAATTTTAATTTCACAAGGACAGTGTTGTTCATTAAAAAAAAATTTGCACGTGCGCCCACGTGGCAAAGGCCATCAGTGGAGAAACGAGAGAGCACCTAACAAGATTCAAATTACGCAGAACTTTCTATTTTGAACTAGCCAAACTTCCAGATCACAATCGTTGATCATCCTCCTCAAATACAACGAAATTCAAGCAATTCAAACTCTCCGCAATCTCCTTCACCCACGGCGTCACGTACCGTCCCCAATCTTCGGGTATCAAGTTGAACATCGCCTCCCTCCGCTTCCCTCTCAACTTCAACGACTCCACGAGGTGGAACCTCCGCCGCAGCCGTTCGGGACTCGTCGAGTATCATAGCGCGATTATTATTTGCTTACGTGTCAATCCGTCGTGCTCGTACCAGCACCGGCACACGACTGGCAAGGGGCCTCGTTCCTTCAGATCGTCTATGTACGGTATCACGTAACTTAAAACGACGTCCGGTACCCAAGAATTGGACGTCCTTTTATTCGTCTTGTTGTCATTCTACTCTAAAAATCGTGCATCCAAAATTCGTTTATGTGAATTGAATTTGAATGGGTCAGTTTTCATTTTCTTCTGGCTTCTAGAGAAAGTGAAACTTGATCTTTATTCGAATCAAAGAGAAATTAAGGACCACTTCATCTTTAACATCACAAAAACAGAGCATGTGCCTCGAATATACTCGTCAAGTGTGCTTGGCAGAAGCTGAACATTTTTCCTTTTGAAGGCCTTTTCTCGGAACATTTCCTCCTCTATAAATTGATATCAAGGGTTGGCAACTGTTCATAAAGCAAGGTAGAGACATTTAAGAGTCATAAAGCTTTAGTTTCGGAAGGGAAATGTTATAGTAGCAATGATGTATGGATGCATTACTGGGCAATTACACCTTTGGCAGTTGGCCACTCGATTGCATGTTCATGTGAGCAAAACTCGAGAAATGACACATGGACATGCATGGATGGAAGTAAGCTCACTGCCAAAGGTGATTTGCCCGGCAATTCATCTATGCAAATATAATCATTCGGCCTCAGCCAACTTGAAGCCTACCAACCAATAACAAGGTAAACCAGACACTATGCCCTATCACTACCTGACTGATGCAGCAAATATTGCACACAGCACCTGCACGTACTTAATTATTCCCTATATTCCTTTCTTTTTCCCTGTTAATTGATATCGTTTTTCAGAGAAGATATGCTTTTTACTTTTGACTTTTCCTTTAATAATTGCAATAATACTTTCTTTCTTTCTTTATCAAAGAGAATTTTTGGGAAAAGAGGCAGCTCGTGCTCATAGAATCAAGAGCTAACAGCGTGAACGTTTATTTTCAAGTAAAAATCAGGCACTTCCCCTTCCGTGGTCAATAGAATTGGCATCTTGGCATGCCTTGCACAGCGTTTTCAGCTGCCCTGCCTGATTTAGTCATTACCTTTGCCTTTTTCACATTATTTCAACCACTTTTAACTCTTCCTTTAAAAAAATAGCATTATCATTTCGAACTTAATCAATGAGTGGTTGGCTGGTTGCTTTTAAGTTAATTATTATAGTATTAAGTATAAGAAATAAAATCAGACGAAAATCTTAAGTTGAAATGCTTCCACGCCATTATTGCAAAAGCGATAAGAACGGGGAGCATAAGAAAAAGACTGGTATACGAAAAGAAAGCAAAAGAAATTAGCTAGGAATAGTGTACGTGTACATTTATTAAATTCGGTAAGGTACCTAATTCAGCTTAATAAATGAAACTAGTTGACAAGCTTGTAGAGAGGTTGTTAAAAGCCATTTCCGAAGAAAGTTGGAAAACCATCTTTCATTGTAATTGTGAAGTTGTCACTTGTCATTTGCACATTAATATTTTTCAGGATTTATGTTTCTAATTTCTATTTTCTTTTTTCCCTTTTTATACTCTTGTGGTATGTAACAGTTGTTAGGAAGTTCATATTTGTATTAGTTTTTACATATATATAACTAATTAGATAACAATATTATATTATAACTCTAAGTTGATAATTTGTATAATAATTTTAACATTTTTCCTCATACTCAAGATGGTATGGAAAATGCCAACTTGAATTTGAAAATTAAGTCTTAAAATTAATTAATGACATATTGTAGTAGACATGTCATTAAACGAAACATATTACAGAACAAATAATGTGACAAAACATGTCGTAGAACATATTATATGACAAAACTCATTACAAATAAAAAATGTCGTGAAAAATATTATAGATGGATTACATGATGGAACATATTACAGATAATGTAATAGAACATGTCGTAAATAGGTACATATATTAAATTAAAAAAATTTACTTACAATATATAAATATGTTTAATATATATATACATATTTATAAATTCGAGTATAAAGATTTCTTTCTTTTTTTGAAACAACTAATTAATAAAAAAGATTTAACACTTCGATTTCACGGAAGATAAAAGAATTAACAACCTTGAAATATTGCTTTATTAATCTTCCAATTCTTATCCTATGAACACAAAAAGCTTACTGTTTTCAATATTTTGACAAAAACGGAAGCAATTCAATGTTGTTCTGTTACACTGCCATCAAACTTCAAATAGTTGTTTGAAATTTTGGTTGCAAATTCCACGTGCGTGTATATATTCTATTATCCTTTCAAGTAACCTGCCCCACTCTGCAGAAAACGAAAGAAAGAAGAGGAGTAATATCTCGACCCCACGCTCCAGCATGGCCTATTAGTATTTCTTTTGGTATTCTTTATTCATTGCGGGAGTCAACCTTTCAGCGTTACGACTTACGATTTAATTTCTTTAATCACTTTAACTAACGTCAAACCTTAAAGTTAAACACGTATTTAATTTAAAATTAACAATCGTGATCCATGCTTTCCCACATATATATTATTGCATTGGCCTGATAATGCCATACCTCAATCCCCACAAAGTTTTAATTATTTAAACAGAATACTAACAGTTTTGCTAATATCACATAATGATTAAGTTTTAGTAATATCCCACAGCCTAGTTGTTGAGCAAATTATTGGTAGAGAAAAGGCTGACACATGTATTTCGCACGTGGGAATTTGATCTCCATACCTAACCAATTATAAACAGATTATTCACATTGGGAGGATCAGAATATTCCTTAGAGCAAATAAGCCTTTTACGGAAAAGCCCTTTGAATTATTGTGAAAATTTTATTCTGGTTTTGTAGTTTGAGTCTGAATTTATGCATAGCACGCCGTCTACTGCCAGGTCATGATTTTCTCGAATTTTGAAAATTTCTTCGTTTGAAGTCTAAATTATCTCTGTCATGCTCCTTTGCCGTCTTTGAGATTGCCTAACTATTTATTTATAATTTTTTATTATTGAAATATGAATCGGTTTAAGTGAATCTACCCCAATATGTATGTAAACTATGTCATTTTTTATTTTTGTTTGGCTGAATGCAATTAATTTTGGTTTCTGAAATTTAGACAAGAGCATTACAACAACCGCATATATCAGTAGTGGTTCGGTGAATACGACCAAGAAGCTATAAACGGAAGTTGATCCAGATTGTAGGGAAAAGATGTTGGGTCATGGTCGTCGTCGTCGTCGGTAATTTATCTTGGGATATTCCAGTAACCTCCACACCAATTCAAGTTCCACCACACGCAATAATTTCTGTCCTTCTTTTACTTTTCTTTTTGCTTCTTCTTAAAGCCACGTCATGTCTGCATGTTCCAATCAACTCTGCTTCCAGGAAAAGCCAACTCACTCGGAGAAAACATAAAAGCAAAACAAAAGTTAATACCACGAGGTAATTAAGCAATGCTTTCTTTTTTGTCATTACCATTTATACCCCATGGAAAACGTGTGTTCCTTCTCTTGAATTTTTTTCCCGTCATCTGTGTACGGCATTGAGGGTTTTTGAGTTACATGGTTGGGCTACTATATATATATATATATATATAGGATTAAGGTCAGCGTTAAACCATAACCTCACAAATTTCAGAATCTTGGGAAAATCTATTTTGCTTCTTGAGTTGCCTTTAATGGAGTCAGGGGAAATTATCAAGCTCTTTGATTCATGCTGGTTTGAGATGGAAATCTTCAAGAAGCATGTATCCCCATCACCATCAACAAGTTTTGAACCAAAACCAGATCGCCAAGATGAAGAAAACTTATCAAAACCAGAGTTTAAACGCGCCCCAACGCTCCATACAAGGTCCATGAGTGACCAGTTGAGCTTAAGCACAAGCTTCATAGGTGATGGTTCTTTCTCACCAGACTCAGTTCTCCACGCACCAAAGCTCCATAAAATTATTTCAGGTAAAGAAATTACAGAAGAAGAGTTGCAAGAGGCGGATAGTAATATTCAAGAGGCACCTAATAAGAAGGCGGTTACAAGTACGAGAATTTCAAGAAAAAAGAAGGGTATAAGTAAGAGCTTGTCAGACTTGGAATTTGAAGAGCTAAAAGGGTTCATGGATCTTGGCTTTGTTTTCTCAGAGGAAGATAATAAGGATTCAAGGTTGGTTGAGATAATTCCTGGGTTGCAAAGATTGGGAAAGAAAGAGGATGACGAAGAGAGTAAGGAAGCTGATAAGGCTGAAGTTTCAAGGCCTTATCTTTCAGAAGCATGGGAGGTTTCAGGAAGAAGGAGAAAAGAAAACCCTTTGATGAACTGGAAAGTCCCTACTTTGGGCAATGAGATTGACATGAAAGACAGCCTTAGATGGTGGGCTCATACTGTTGCCTCTACAGTTAGATGATGAAGATTCACAGTTCAAAGTTTTGCCTTTTTTTTTTTTTTTTTGCCGGGGGATTTTCGCTATTTTTCTCTCTAATTCTTTACATGATTTTAATCTTAGATACAGTATTCTGCAATCCGTTTTCTTCGTTTCAGATTAATTTGTAAATAAAATTAGATAGGGCATCAGTTTTTTTTCGTTAATGAATTGACGATTTACTGGGTCTTCACTTTTTACATAAATTTGTTTGCTCTGAGCCTATGGATGTTGATCTTATCGCCTACCAAACTAGAAAAAGTCGACGCCTCAAAATTTCGTAACGGATTTTTCTTTTGCGAAAAAGGACTAAATGAGTTGTGTCCGAGTGCAAGTTTCCACTAAATTTCTGAGATGCACGAACATAACTCAATCCGTTTCACATCATTGTCTTGTCTGAAAATCAAGGGAGAACCCTTTGTTAACTCCGTCTCAGCCTCCGAGGCAACTTTTATATCTTCTTTACTTAGTCGTAGCAGATATTTGTCACGTTGCACCAAAATAAATGAAGAGTTAATGCAAGTTTTGTCCCCAAAAAAAATAATTAATAAAGTGCAAGTTGTGATGTTAACTCATCACCTAACAGAAAAAGGCTATTGCTTTAGTTTGAAGCTGGAATTTTGAACTCCATTTAGTTAGTTTCTAGAGCTGCAGCCTGCAATCCCTTATACTATTAAATACATAAAAAATAAAAAATAAAAAAAACACATGGAAAATGAGTTCGAATATGGGCATGGATGGCCCATGACAAAAAGGGTAAGAATCACGAGGACCCGCTTTGATTCATCCCAAAGTCAATACTTGAGCCCAAAGAAAAGCCACATGCCGAGCCCAAAATTAGTGGAGATGCTGCTAAAGGCTAGATTTTGTTCTATGATTGACTAGCCACTTACAAGCAGGAAACATTATGCTTTAGAATCATCATGATAAGTGAAAAGACAATGTCATGAATTATGCCCATTTGTTAAAACTTGTTAAATTTTTTCGTGATTTCTTATAACTAAATCTTAATTATTTCACATCCGAATTTAACTTAATAAAAAATATATATTTAAATATTTAATTTAATAGTAGATTTATATACTTGATATATATACAAATTTTTCAAAAATTTAAATAGAGAACAATAAAGATTAAACAAACTTGAAAAGGTGATTATAGAAAATTAACTTTCAAATTATTTTAATCACACTTTTTTAAGTCAGCTTTATAACCTTTTCTTCATCTTTTAAAAGGATTTAGCATTTGGAATATTAGAATAATAGCGAATTGAGGATTAAAAGTGCTAAAAACAAGCAGGTTGTTTTCGACCGTTGGCTGATTTCTTTTCTTCTTCCGTGAATATGCCTTTCAAATCCCCAAACAGCCCACTGACTCAAGCTGCCGGTTTTTTTTTTTCCAGTGGGCCCAAATACCCTCGTTCTTCCAAGATTCACCATCGCAATAAGCATAGCACAAAGGGTTAGCCTTGTCATTTCACAAAAACAAAATTCCTCTGATGCTTTGTCAAGAGAATGAAGCCAAATGAAACTGTAGCTACTACTAATTTCCTCTGTTTTATTCACGTTTATAAGTCTCGTTTTACGGTCTTTGGTCCTCTCATGGATGGCTCAAGGAAGGTCATGGAGAGTTTGGACTCCCTATGGCTTTTCAACAATGTGCTCACACTAACAACATTGGAGCACAAGGGTCCCCTTGATGAAGACATAGTCAAGGAAGAAGTACCATCAAAACACAACACTCAGAGTACTTCTCAGGATCAGCAGAATGAGGCTCCTAGCACTGAGATTTTAGTTCCAAGGTGCCCCAAGTGTGGTGAAATTGCTGTGGAAGTTGAGCATCGGATAGTGCAACCAGACCCATTTGAAGAGGTGGAGTTTGCAAGGCCAACAGAGAAGACAGAGAGAAGAAGGAGGAGACGAAGGAAAAGAAGCAAGAGAAAAGTTCTTGGAGAGCATGATCTGGGGTTCCATGGTAACTTGGCTTCTGGGTCTTGGGTTTCTGAAGAAACATATGGATATCCAAACTCTGAAAGCCAACATTACACGAAAATGCCTCCTTTGAATGATGGTTTGGCCATGAAAGAGCACCTTAAATCATGGGCTTACGCAGTCGCCTGCACTGTCAGATAAAAATGATGCTACTACTAATTCCCTGCTTGAAGTTAGAACCTGTTCATTTTGTGCCAGGACTGGCTCAGTTGTTCCTTCTCATTGTCATGACTGTTTAACTCTGTATCTTTTCTTCTTTATTTTCTTAACATGTTTCTTTTCCATGTTGGTAGATGTTCTAACCATGGTTAATTTGATATGGGAATGTGCATGGTAGTTTTGTCTACTTGTTTTTCTTTCTTCATGGATTTTGTATATTAACTTTGTGATTCAAATTATGGATACCATAAACACCATAAAATCCAAATTCCAGCTTGATGCTTATATCAAGAAATGCTAGTAGTTCAAGATGTTTAAAGTTTCATTAAATTCAATGAAACAAGACACAATACATTTTTTTTTTAATTTCTTGCGCTATGTAAAGAGTTTGGTATATACGTCATTTGTACTAGCACATAAGATCAAAGTTAAAAGCTATGAGGCATGATTGTTAAAATAAGCCTATGGAAACTTTCACGTGAAGGGGAAGACATTTGGAAATGTATCTTTTCCTTCTGCAACTACGTTTATAACCAGGTCTGAAGCCTGAAGTCTGAACCTTCCAGGAAATTTCTCAGTTATCTCTAATTTTCTATCTGGTAATTATACAATCTGCTACGGAACAGTGTTCTCAGTGTTAATCCCTCAGGCGATTCCATACAATATTCTCGTTCAACTCATTGACATTTGACTCAAAGATGTAGGGCTCTTTTTTCCAGTGTTATTTCCCCAATGCTGTCCTCCAGGCTCCAGTCCCGACTCTCACTAGACTCACCCAAAACGTGAATGCAGTACATCTACTTCAATCAATTAAACTTCATCTTTTGTCATTGTCCTTTGGTAACACATGGGGGGCCTTTTAAAGTTTTACCTGAATTCTCTGGTCAACGTTTTCTTTGATAGAGGTGTATAACCTTTTTGCTGCCAGGTTGAAGGGCATTGGCCGATCTACGCCAAGCTGCTGTTTCGAGTAGAGAGGCAATGGTAGAACAATTCAAAAGAAACGACATTAGGAAAGAAACTTTTCCAGGGTCGTGCCAAGTTATGCTAAGGCCAAATTAGGCTCACATGCAGGATAATGGGTGTATCTTCTTTTGACATTCTCGGTTTGTTTGCTAGGAAACAAGGGCATGAACACAAACTAAATATTAAATGATTCGTAACATGCTATTCTTATACTATTTAAAAAAAAATGAAAGGATTGGGTGGTGATTAAGTCAAAAAGCAATGCAATTAGGCATGTCTTGCCTAATGCCTAGTTTTCTCAATTAGGCATGATTGTTGACATGTGATTAATATTAAAATGTCACACCTGTCCCCCTAGTTGACAATTTTGATGAGTTGAAAGCGCAACCTCATCAATTATTCGGAGCCAGTGCCAGCCTGCCAGGCTCCTGTTCCAATTTCTGCTTCCTACTTAGTGCTGTGGTTGCTATTTGTAAAACATTCTTGGGTTAAAATGTTTCTTGACTAGTTGTTATTTGTTGAAACGTTCATTTGGGTTGACAATTGTGTCATCAATTTTGACTTTCATTTCTCCTTTCCATGGTTTCAATTTGTTTCAAATCCATTTGGATTTGAATAGAACCATTTAGAATCTTTGTTTATTCAAATTTATACTAATTTAGGAATTGATCTTTTTCACATGAGATTTCCTAACTAACATTCAAACCCTACATTCCTCAAAAGGGAAAATAATAAACATATGTAACCATTTAAAACTTGAAAAGCTAACTTTAGCAATATGCCCTATGTATCCTATTGATTCTTTTATGTTCTTTAATGGTAGGAAGTCCTACGATTCTGTAATATTAGTCTATAATTTTTTAAATAATATTAGAATTATGACAAAACATTTTTTAATGAAATTCATTTAATACAATTAAAGTTCTTATTTACCAAATAGATAAATTTTATTAATATTTATGATAAAAAAATATTTTTAATGAAATTCATTGGATGAAATTAAAATTCTTATGTATTTAAAAATTAAATAAAATTTATTGATATTAATTATAATTAAAAAATATAATTATTTTCTTCAATCAATTAGTTTTTTCATATCCATATTTTTATATGTATTATAAATTATTGATTATATTCTTGACCTTATAATCTTACTAATTGCTCATTTTTTGCTCAATAAAACATATTTAAAGAAAGTAAAGTTAATCCAAAAATGTAGTGGCGTTAACATAAAAGGCAGTAAGATATCTGAGTATTTAACTTATTGATTAATACATAACTTCTTATTTAAAGAAAAAAAAAACATAAAAAGTTATAGGATTATTTTCTTTTTCAAAGGATGTGATTGAGGAACTGGACATGATATGGGCCGAAAGGGCCCAAACGCAACCCAACGGGACAATGGACCCTTAACCCACTGTCCACTGCCCTGAAAAAGAACCGCCATTCGAAAGCTTGAGAGAAATCAATTCTCAGTCCAGCCAAGGCGGCGTAAATGACGGAGGCAAGACGACTGAGAGGTCACAAGGCCACCGTCACGTGCTGTATCGCCTCACGTGACAGGCCTGGCCTCGTCGCCACTTCTGCCGAAGTAACCTACTTTCTTCTTCTTCTTCTTCTTCTTCTTCTTCGTCTTCTTCTTCTTCTTCTTAACCTTCTGTTTATCTTCCATTTTTAATTTTTACTGAAGCTTTTTTTTTTTGGAATATAAAAAATTAAATTTAAATTTAGGATGGTTGCGTTTGTTGGTTTGATATGCGTTGCAAAGATGTACAATTTGTCATGGATGTTAGCAATGAACCAATTTCATCCCTATGCTTCAACTCTGGTCAGTTTCGATCATTTCTTTTTCTATTTATTCAATATTTT